AGATCACCTTTCTCAAGATGGGTGGACTTCCACTCCCAGAATCCCCCAGTGAGGGTGCTTTAAGATGGGTGGACTTCCGGAATTCTGGGAGTGGAAGTCCACCCATCTCAAAAGTGCTGAACTTGAGAAACACTGATTTAGAGCTTTTGAGGAGTGGCCTGCTGTGGATATCAATTGGGCAGTGCTATGTCAGGCAGGTGGGTGCTGCCAGAAATGTCCATTTTCCCCAAATTTTGAGGAGAAGCTTTTCCTTGCATTTTTAAAAGTTTTTTTTTTTTTTTGTAATTCCTGCTCAAAACGGAGGAAATTGTGCAACTGTTTTTTGGCAGGCCTACTCCCGTGGGAGCTGCAGAAATCAATTTGCAAGCCATGGGCTACTCCCCCTCGATACCAGGTGCAAGATTTCCAAAGGCGTAGTACCAGACTGTCGAATTCAGGCCTGGCTGGGGCCGAGGGCAAGGCTGAGCTTTGCTCATGTTTCAGTAAAGCTCTGAAGAGCAAGATGGGGGTTGCACAGGAAAAAAGATACGCTTGTCTCCCCGGTGCAGAGATCAGTCTCTGTCTGAAAGTAAACTCCAAAGGGGAAAATGTACCATTAATTCTGATGCATTTAACCCCTAAGAGGGACGAAGTGAGCTAGATGGCCCCTGGCAACAGCCCCTACAAGAGGGCCCCCCCTCGGCTTCGACGCTGGGAGGGAAAGGAGAAGAGGAACCGTTTCTGAGCGCTCATCATGCAAAGCCACGTCCTGCCGCCTCTTTCAACCACACTTCCCCCTCTTTGCAAAACAAGCAAAAGGTGTATTGCGGTGTGGAATCAGAAACTGCAAGAGAAGCTACCAGGAATGAGGGACCAGCTATCCTTAGCAGTGGTGAAAAAGGTGTGAAAACAAAACTGCCAGAAGCTGCTCCTCTTCCTGTATTTGCTCTGACGCAGTGGGGGAAATAAGGCAAGCTGCAGAGCAGGCGCCAAGGGGCCACGATCAGACCTCCGCGTGGCAAAGTGGTGGACTCCTGGGCAGTTGCACTTCTAAGGGAATTGGACAAGGCCCGGATGGGGGAACAAGACTGCCTTCCGTTTCTAAAAATTTAGTGTCTTTATTTTTAATAAAAACAATCTTCACTCTTACAAAAAAACAAAACAAAACTTAAAACACACATACTAAAGAGGCAACCTAAGGAGGAAAAAAAATTCTTCGATTTTATACTTATCAATAGTCACTGGTTCACCAGTGAATTCACTACTACCATCCTAGCAGGAAAGAAAGGAAAACGCTTAACAATAGTATAGATAAATATTTAATTTCTGACTTCCCCTTCTTTGTGCTTCAACCGATTTACAGTATTTTTTTTAACAAAAACTTTAGAAAACCATACTCTGTATGTGCCTTGCTGTGTGATATATATTATATATGGAAGCCATTCTTGCTTAAATTTAGTTAAACTTCTATGAACTAAAACATGGCTGGCTGGGGAATTCTGGGAGTTGAAGTCCACATGTCTTAAAGTTGTCAAGGTGGAGAAACGCTGTGCTACTTTAATTTGGAGACACGCAAGAGGTGTGACAAATTCCAGTACAAATTCCATTGGGAACAGACATGGGTGTTGGGTTGTTTTGGGTTCCTGGGTGTTCCTAGCATTAAGCAAAATCACTAAAGCTTACATTTCCCCAGTCAAATCTCTTTCCTCAAGAAATGTGACGTGAGAAAAGGTATGCATTAAATGTTGGAAAGTTAGACTCATCAAGCCTGTTGGGGGAAATTCATAGGTCAAAGAATGAAAGCGAGCTGATTTGCAATGAAAGAGAAAGCAAGAAAAAATGGTTAGGCGATGTTCCTTGCAGACACCATTGTGACGTTTTGGACACCCCGCTTATGCAGGCACCCCTTCCTGTCCTAGTATAGGGAGGACCATAACAGAAAGGTCCCCCAGTGAGCCCCAGCCCCATTCACCTCCTGGTAATGAGGGGGCCACTAATAGATTTTGCTGAGGTGAGTTGTGTTACAAAAGATCCAGGTTCAGCTTACAGTCGCTCACACAGGTGGTTGAGGCATGTGGATTTATTTTATTTTTATTTGATTTATCTCCGCCCATCTCCCCCTAATGGGGGACTCTGGGCGGCTCACAAAATCCGTTAATAAATATATAAAACATAAAAACTATACAAAACGTTACCAAAAGAAAAAATCCAAGAGGCTGATGGTTACCAGAGCTGCAGACCACAGGCCTCTAAGGGGCTAGCCATCTCCACACTTGGGGTCTTCCCTCCCCACCCCAGGCCAAGTGGCAGAGCCAGGTCATCACATCTCTCCGGAAGGCCAGGAGTGAAGGGGCCAATCTCACCTCTGGGGGCAAGATATTCCAAAGGGCCACAGCCTTCTGGACCCTGCTAATCGGAGCTCTTTTACCGAGGGGGACTGAAGCATGCCCTCCCTGTGTGATCGGTTGGGACGAGTTGAAGTCATGGGGAAGAGGCAGTCCGTTAAGTAACCTGGTCTCATGCCATGTAGAGCTTTAAAGGTGACAACACCTTGAATTGGACCCAAAAGCAAACTGGAACTCAGTGCAGCTCATGGAGCAATGGTGTTACATGGGTCCTTCTTGGGGCTACAAAAATAGCCCGCACAGCTGCATTCTGGACAGCTGTAGCTTCCGGATACTCTTCAAGGGTAGCCCCATGTAGAGTGCATTGCATTAGTCTATATGGGAGATAACAAGGGCGTGAGTGACTGTTCGAAGGGCATCCCGATCCAGGAAAAAGTGTAACTGATGCAAGACCCGAAGTTGTGCAAAGGCCCTCCTGGCCATGGCTGCCACCTGCTCTTCAAGCAGGAGCTGTGAGTCTAGGAAGACCCCTAGATTACGCACTGGGTCTGTCTGGGGCAGTGCTACCCCATCCAGCGCCAAAGATGACAAAGTCCAGATACAGAGGAGCCATTAACCCACAGCCACTCCGTCTTACCAGGGTTCAGCTGAAGCCTGTTGTTCCCCATCCAGACCCTTACAGCCTCCAGGCACCACAAAAGGGTGGTCATGGCATCACTTACTTTACCTGGGATGGAGATGTATAATTGCATATCATCAGCATACTGATGATACCTCATCCCATGATGGTGGATGATCTCACCCAGCGGTTTCATGTAGATGTT